TCAGAAAAATGAGTATAGGTATATAGTTATGTAGAAATAAAACAAATAGGGAGAAATGTTATTTATTGAAGCTAGATGAAAGGTTGTGAGAGTTTATCTTACTTCTTTTGCAACTTTTTATAGGTTTAATATTTTTAACAATAAAATTTTTAGGACCTAGTTACTGCTAGATAACTTTCCAAAAAGAACAGAGACATTCATAAGCCCGTCAGCTGTGATGTACTGCTGGATGACCTATAGGATCTTCCTGTGTAACCTGCGTTTGATTTCTATGATTCTAGACTTGTCAGACGTGTACTTCCTGTAGTCTGGGAGTATATGTATCAAAGGAATGTATCTTCAGAGCTGAATACTTTTTGTTCCTTGAGCAATCCTGGTTCTGAATTGGTGATCTAAATGTAAATTTTAAAGTATTTTCTGTGATAAAATACGCTGCTAATATGTGAACAGTTTTTAAAATTTGTTTATTTGGGGTTTTACAAGACCTTTATACTATTGCCATGGTTAGGAAGAGAGGATTTAGTCCCCCACTGTTAGAAGGAAGAAATACTACATTCTGTACGTGCAAAAAACAATTTTCTTTTTGGATAACTAACTAGCTCTCATTTATCCACATAATACCACTTTCTTCCTTAGGGGCCATATTGTGAAGTGCTCCCGTAGATCTCTCCATCTGTAGTGTTCATCTCTACAGAAGTGCATATTTTGTAATGTGTGGAGGTTGACCATTTCCCTTAAAAGCCTGGGCTCTTAGGGGTCTTGGTGAGGAAGAGACAAGGGTTAAGGGAGGTATTTCCAGGTGACGAGCTTGCCTAGACATCCTGTATTATCGTTTAATTTTCCCAAGTAAAGATAAGCCATTAAGGGATTTGCTGACGAGTGTTCCTTTAGCCCCACTGCTGGGCAGACTTGCTGTTTGGAAACTAGTGTGGGAGCCTCTCTGTCTTGTGTTTCTGTGGAGGCGGTAACAACTCCCCTGGGGATGCCCTTGTCTCCTGGAAGGAAGCTGAGACATCTCTCCTGAGTGTTTGTGCATGGGGGGTACAGGGTCCCAGTGGTCTCAAGAGTTAGCCTTGCCCCTCAAGTTCCCGCCCCCATCCCCACCACTCCTTTGTAGTGCTCGTGCCTCTGGGGAAGGATTGCTGTCAGCAATCTTTTAACATACGTTTGGCTTTGTAGTAAAATAGCATGAAGCTCATAATCTGGTGATTTTTTTTTACCTAAGTATTTTGTGTTGTTATAATCTCTCCCTGGACAGTGCATCCTTTTTTGGTCAGAGCGGAGAGGATAAAAAGGGCAGAGTCTCACAAAAACCCTCACACCGAACGTCTGAGCCCAGCCAGTGTGTTTCCATTCTGCTGACCTCTGCCGTTGTATGTTTTGAGTAGAATGCATGCATTTTCTGATTTACCATCTGAGAAGCGATCTGGATATTTGAAACTTGGACTATCCAAAAAAACATGAAATGTAAAGTCATCATTTTAATAAATCATTTGGAAATTCAGTAGCAAACCCTAGAACTGATGGCAGGATGGAAAGGAAGTTTTCTCATTTTCATATTAGCAGACCTTTGGTTCTTTTCCTAAATGACATTGCAAACATCCTGCCGAATCTCCCAGGTAGGGAGTTAACTTGAACTGCAGGAGAGATTTCCAAGGCCCTCCGAGCTTTCAGCTCAGATCTCCTGGTTTCACAAGGTCTTTCTGTTCCCTAGTATGGCGTGATTAATCCAAATATGAAGAGCACTTGGCTAACAGTCTCCGTGGGTCTGGCAGGAGAAATGCTAGTCCGTTTGCACTGCCCAGGACATAGCTCTGGACCCTGTAGCCTGAGTCAGACCCTGTACCCTGAGCCTCTAGGCCTTCAGGTTTATTGGTCACTTGAGGCCAACAGCATGTGGGCCAAACCTAGGGTGTGGTGTCAGATGGCCCCTTACATTGGAGGGACCTGGAGGTAGAAGAGCTCAGATTCCCCTCAAGGGCTTCCTCATTCCTGGTGGCATCTTGTTTTTGTCTTTTAGGCTTCTGTTAGTGGCAGCATTTTACCCCTATGCCCATGAGGAGCAGTGGCCCTTGGAAGGGGATAAAGAATCTCTTTCCTGAAGTCATCTGCCTCCCATTTTCAGTTCTGGGGTAGTTTGCCTTGGCCTGTATTCTGTGATTCTCAGTAGCCCAGGAACCTTGGACCATGTTTGAATTGTGCCAAGAGCTGACCGCAATTGTGCACCTAAGCCCTGGATTGTAGTTGCGGGTGACATAGTATATGTATTGGCATTTTCCTCCTGTGTATTTTTGACACGAGGCTTTCTGCTGACTAAATGTAACAGTCCCCTTTCAACTTTATCTAGAACAACTTCAGTACCTGAATGGTCAGCCAAATCAATGGTCCCTTATTTCCTAGCATCTGTACTGGTCAGGAACCCTAAATTCACATTCTCTTTGATATATATAATTTATTTTTCTATAAGAGGGATTAGTTACCATTTTCTGGATATGTCCTTTGAGATTGGGAGAAGTTAAATCACATGTCAGAGAATGTTTCTGTTAAGTGATAACCAGAGATACTATTTATTACTCTAAATTTAAATTTAAGATTAAACATAAATTTTAAGGTTACAGAGTCTCTATTTGTTTCACAGTGTCAGATTATCCCAAGTGCCCTGTGTTCAGTGGACACAGTCTTATTACATGATAGGCATCTGAAAGCCCTTACCCCTCATTTTCCTGGCCTATTGCAGAGGCATCTGTAAGTGACATCTTGTATCCCATGTGACATGTGGAGGTAGGTGGGCTATGATTTGACTTCCTGTGAAGTCAGTCCATGTGTTGGCCAGAAGCATTGTCAGCAGCGATACCTTCTCTTACTGTCCCTAGAGGAGCTTCTAACTTTGGACACAACATTTTAACCTGATGTGTGTTTCTGTGTTACTGACATTAGTGCCCTTAAGTTGACTGTGGTAAAGAATAAGTTCTTTCATTTCCAATCTGTTGAGGACTAATACTTAAACAAATAAAATAGAAATGTTGTGGCCGTATCAAATTGCTATAAAGGTTTCCCAGTGCTTGCTCTCAGCTTCTGTACTGATCTCATTGTGGGCTGTTAGAGTAAACAGTTTGTGGCCCCAGATTGGTCTCTGGATGCATCTTAAATAGCACTCTACTGTATAATTTAGGAGAGGCATAGACTTCAGAAGAAAAATATAACTTCCATAAGCCACAATTTTAAAATAATTTTAAGTTTAGAGTAATAGATAGTGTCTCTGGTTAGCATTCTAATTTTTAATATTGTATCTACAACTTTTTAAAACTACAAAAGTAATTCATGCTTTAAACAAAAACCCAAATAGTACAAAAATTCCCAAACTAAAAATGTTCCCCTTACTCCTAGCCCCACCCTCCAAATAACTATTATCAATTCTTAAGTTGAAATTGCATCTCACATTCAAGAAAGAAGGGTGTGTATCAAGATTTATGAAGAGAAAAAAGGGTGGGAAAGATATCAGAAATTCACCCCTATCTCTCACCAGTTATAAAACTCAATTCAGAATAGATTAAAGACAAACGTAAGACCTGAAACTATGAAACCACTAGAAGAATGCACAGGGGAAATGCTTCAGAACATTGGAATGATAATAAGGATTTTTTGGGGCAGGACCCTGAAAACAAAAATAGACAAAGGGGATTATATCAACTAAAAGTTTCTGCACAGCAAAGGAAACAGTCATCCAAGTGAGGAGACAACCTATGGAATGGGAGAAAATATTTGCAAATTTCACACCTAACAAGGGGGTTAATATCTAGAACATGTAAGGAACTCCAAAAACAAACAAACAAACAACCTCAACAGCAAAAAAGAAAAGATAAATAAAATGGGCAATAGACCTAAATACACATTTTCGAAAAGAAGATATACAGATGGCCAACAGGCACATCAAAAAATGTTCAGTATCACTAATCATCAGGGAAGTGCAAATCAAAACTACAATGAGATATTTCCTTACTCCAGCAAGAATGGCTGATACCAAAAAACTGAGGTCAACAAGTGCTGATGAGGTTGTAAACAATAGGGATCCTTGCTTGCTATAAATTAGTACAGCTATCATATAAAATAGTATGGAAGTTCCTCAAAAAATTAAAAATGGAACTATCATATTATCAAACAAGCCTACTACTATGTATATATCCAAAGGAAATGAACTCTACACTGTCATCTCATTGTAGCACTGTTCACAATAGCCAAGAAATGGAAAGAAATTAACTGTTCATAAACTCATGATGGGTAAAGGAGATGTAATACATACCCACAGTGGAGTAAGAGTTGTCCATAAAAAAGAAGGAAGTTATGTCATATGCAACAACATGGATGGAAATGAAGGTCATTACACGAAGAGAAATAAGCCAGGCATAGAAAGACAATTACCACTTGACCTCACTCATGTGGGGTTCAAAAAGTTGATCTCTCAAAAGTTGAGAGTAGAATGGCAGTTACCAGAGGCTGGGGAGAGTTGTAGGCGGTATAGAGGGATGGGGAAAGATTGACCAGTGGATACTATCATAATAAAGGATAAAGAAGTTCTAGGGTGCTGTTGCACAGTAGGTGATAATAATAACAATTATGTACTTTATATCTTAAAAAACAAGAAGAAAGGATTTTGAATATTTTTACCATAAAGAAATAAGTGTTTGAGCAGATAGGTATGTTTCAGGTTAAACACCTATCTTCTCAAACATTAAAATACCCTAAATATTACACAGTGTATACATGTATGAAACCATTACATGGTACTCCATAAACATGTAAGTGTTTTAATGTTTTTATGTATTAGTAAAAAATTAATTTAAATTTCACAAGAAATATATCTAGTTTTTTATTCTACTTTTTTTTTTATTTCAGAGGGGAAAGTACAACTTTTACTGTGTAGTATTCTGTGTAGATCTAAAGTAACATGACAACTCTGTCTGATATCCAGGATTTTCTAACTTCATCTCTTTTTGTTGCAGAGCCAGATCACACTAATGGATATCCCTGTGTTTAAAGCCATCCAGCCGGAGGTCTGTACTTTGTTCTTTTTACCCTTGTACTAGAGCTGTGGCCGGGAAGAGAGGGTCTAGCCAGCCTTTGTTAGAGTGACTCAGTTTCTTGGTTTCTCTCTTGAAGTCTGTATACATGCACGTTACTGATTTGTTCCATTGATACTGGTGCCCATTTTTCGAGCTGGCTGTTTTAATGCTACCCATCTGGCCCATTCTAGTGCAGCAGAGCAGTTGTTTCCCACAGCGCTGCACACCTGAGTCACCTCGGAAGCTGTCCTTCTTGTCCCAGGCTTCCCTGGATGAAGGTATTCACTGTCAAGGACATGTGAGGGCAGGTTTCCTAGAGAGCTTTCTTTTTGCTGAACCTAGATGCTGGTAATTTTCTTGTTTGTTTTTCAAATCAGTTGCCACAGCAAATTGTGCACATATTTCATTAAATGTATATGTACATTTTTAGAAACAATGAAGGAAAAAGTCTTTTTTTCTTTTTCTTTTTGAGACAGGGTTTCACTATGCAGTTAAGGCTGGCCTTGAACTTGCACTCCTTGCCCCAGCCTCCTGAATGCTCAGATTACAGGCATATGCCACCTTGCTTAGCCTGGAAAAAAAAAAGTCTTTAAAAACAAAATTTCTGAAAAACAGAAATTCCTAGAAATGTCTGGCATTTGGTGTGAGGCTTTAGTTTATTCAGGGTTTCTTGTTAGCAAGTGACAGAAATCCACTTTAAAGAAGCTGAAAAGGCAGAAGAGACGCTTATTCCAGGGATATATGGGCATTTTACAGCATCATCTGTGAACACAGAGCTCAGGTAGCCTGGGAGCCCCCAGCATGTAGGCAGTCTTTCTCACCTCTACTTCCCTTGTCCTCTTGCCCTCTTTCCTATCTGCACACATGATCCAACTTGACCTTCCCAAAGGGCCACATTTATGTTTTCTCCATTTAAGCTGACATCCCACACTGAGACCAGCAACATTCTATCCAGCCCACTTTAGTCGAATGTTTAGTCATGGTCCAGTCACCTGAGGTCAAGAGGACATGGTCAAGATGAGCAAACATGGCTGTGGGACCCAAGTTTGGGAGAGAGGTACAGATTTCAGAAAACTAGGGTGTGAATGGGGAGGTAGGTCAAAAAGTAGCTGCTTCAACCGTGGGGTGACTCCCCAAACACTGTTGACTTTACAGTACAGTGACTGGCAAGACTTTGAAAAAGACAACATATCATAATATAGACAGCCAGCCACAGTATCTAGGCCTTCTGAGAGTTGATGTTCATCCCCTAGAAACTGGGAAGGAACTAGTGCCACTAGTTGCACTCAGTGTGTATGTGAAGAAGTGGCACTGATTTGTCACATTGTATGTGCTGTGTTCATTGGGCTTGAGGAGCATAGCTGTGTGTACTTTTTTTTTTTAATTTGCTGTCTTCATCTTTTTCTGTTTTTTCTAATGTGGGACAATTCATCTTTTCTAATGAACAGCAACAAGTTGCTAGTACTTGGAGCCTTTGGGTGAAGTAGTTGTGTGATGGCTGTCTTAGTTCTCTGCTGGAGCTCTTTCACATCATGTTATCTGCTTAGCTTCTCTGGAGCAGTTTAGATATGCAGGGCTTTGTTCCTGATCCTGAGTGTCAAGGACAGCAGTGAGGTTGGTGTCGCTGCCCACGACAACTGTGAGAGGGAAGCAGATAGAGGCTTCTTCCTTTGCAGAACCATGACCAGGGCCAGACCAAGACACCTCCCCAGGTACTGCAGCATGGGGGGTACTCATGAAGGCATCCTTGTTTCAAGTTATGACAGGACATTAAATGGAGGTATTTTCCTTCAAGCTTTTAGCTTGGAAGAGTGATTCTCATTTATGGCTGCTTCTCAAAATTGCCTGGGCAGCCTTTGAAAGATGGGGTGCCCAGACCCACCCTAAACTATGGAATCTGGATCTGTGGGTTGGAATCTGGAACCCAGTCAAGCCTATTTTGTGAAAATTTGCCAGGTGACTCACACAGAGTGGAGATTCAGGACTGATTGTTTTGAGATATCTGGAGAAAGCCCAGAATTGAACTCCTTGGATCTATAATGTGTCAGCTAAAAATAGAAGTTTGTTCCTCATTGTCAAGACTATGCACAAAAAAGAACCCTGGAGCTACCCCAGCTGTCTTATTCTTATTGTTATTGTTAGAAGACAGAAAATTGGAATTTTCCTTGCCGGGGGTGCTTGCCATGTTCTGCCTGGATCACACCATAGTGGGAGGGTCGTGAATAGGGTTAAATATAGGTAAAACTTTCCAGGAAGCAGAGACCATCATCTGAGAGCATGATGGGCACCGGGAATGATGTTGGCTCCCAAGAGATCAGGGAAGCTGTGGACTTGTGCCTTTCATCCATGGTATTAGAATCATTTGGGGTATATCCATAAAAACAAAAACACTCAACCAGATGGCTGCACTTTCTCCTTAGAGGTTCTGACTGCAGAGGTTTAGACTGGGGCTGGGGGCTGCAGATCAGATTTGAACAACTCACCAGTGGTCCATGGTCAAAGATGAGAACCAAGGATGTAGATGATTATAAGACCAATAGTAATTTGCTTTGTACGCTGCCCCCCCCTTTTTTTTTCGCAGTGCTGAGATTGAACCCAAGGCCTCACACGCTATAGGCAAATTCTTTACCACTGAGCAACCTCCCTAGCTCTGTGAAATTCTAATTTCCTTAAGAATTGTGCTTGCCTGGTTGCCAGCTGTATTAGTCATTTTCTTATCACTGGGATAGAATACACAATACCTGCAGCTTAAAGGAGAAGAGGCTTATTTGGCTCACTGTTTCCAGTGGGCCCAGTCCAAAATCAGCTGACCCCACAGAAATGGCATGGTGGTTGAGCTGGGCATAGTGGCACATGCTTGTAATCCCAACACTCAGAGGCTGAGGCAGGAGGATTGTTGCAAGTTCAAGACCAGCCTGGGCTACAAAGTGAGCTCAAGGCCAGCCTGAACTACGTGAGACCTTGTCTCAAAAAGACAAAAAAAGAAACAAAACAAAATCCACAAAAAAAAAAAAGAAAGAAAAAAAGAAACCCAGCATGGTAGAAGGGCCTGGTGAGGACAGCTGCTCATCCCATGGCAGCCAGGAAACAGAGAGAGAAGGGGTATGTGGGACAAGAATACATCTTCTAAGTCACATCTCCCACCAGGCTCTGCCTCTTAACAGCACATTTAGCTACTAAGCTCATCAGTGGATGAACCCACTGATGAATATAGTATCCCCATGATCCAATCAGTTTCCAATGCATGAAACTTTTGGGGGAATATTTTAGACCTAAACCATAACACTGACTAAGATTACTATCAGTTCAGCCACACATAGATAACATAACATTAGCCATAGGCTGTGTAATTAGGATTTGACTCAGGCCTATCTGAGCCCAAAGCCTGACTAGTGCAGAGTACACACCACCTACCCAGGTTGGTGTGGATACAGCCATTTTACCAGGGTTCAGTTGTCTAGGATGTACAGTTTGTGAGTCCTTCCTAGTCCTGGAAGATCTTAAGCCCAGTGGGGTGTTGATGCTGGCAGGGGTAGAGACATGACAATATATAGACTTCTGGAGTTTCCCTGGAAGGCATCAGCATCTTCTCTTAGTTGGTCATTCTACTGGCTTGCTTCAGGTCTCTGCTTCCTTCATTCTCTCCCTTGGGGAATTGTCAAGCTGTCTGCCAGCTTTGTTCTTATTCATAAGGGGCTGTGTGGGTATTTAGCTTGAAAAAAAGAAGGCTCTGGAGGATTATGCGTCCTGCTCTTGGAAGTATGAAAGGTGTTGAGCAGGCTGTGAGGAGTGATGTTGAAATCTGGACATTTTTGCATTGTATCAGGGATTGTCCTGGAGGAACTGTCTGGGTGGTGGATTTACATGCACAAAGGTATATGAAGGAGACTTGCATTGAAGTGGGGGAGGGGGAGAGATTGGAACATGGAGACTTCTAAAGACCCCCAACCATGGGAGTTCTTGAGTCTCTGGAAGGCATGCCACAGTGTTGGAGTAGTGGACAGACTCTTGTCTCAGTGTTCCTGGTTGGTTTGCTAGCCCTCCATATCTAAATACCCAGTGGGTCATTGCCTGAGCCCAGTTTTGGAAGTGGGTGAGTGCTGATGTAGAGTGTTGTTGGGCAGCCTGGGTGTTGTGCAGGCTCTAGGCCAGGCAGCTTGGGTGCAGGTTCACATTTCAGGGCAGGATCCTCACAACAGCCTTATGATGCACCTGCTATTGCTGTCTTCATCTTACATTGAAGGGATGGGAGAAAGCTCTGTAACCTGCTCTGTGATTACCATATTATTAGTCCTCTATAGGTTAACCCAAATTGAGCAGCTCAAGACAATAAGCATTTATCATCTTCTAGTTTCTGTGGATATAAAATCTAAGGATGACCCAACTGGGGGTCTTGGCTCAGGGCCCCCCAGAAGGGTGCAGTCAAGATGTCAGCTGGGGTTGGAGACCTGCTTTTGTAATAACTCCTGTACAGAGCGTGGTGAATTACTCCTGGCTATTGGCAAAAGGCCTCAGCTCCTTGCCATGTAGATCCTGCACAGGCCGCTTGAGTGCCCTCATGGCATGGCAGCTGACTTTCCTTAGAATAAGTGATCCAGGAAAGTAAGACAGGGCCATGATGATTTTCATGACTTTTAGAGCCTAGTAAGTCACACCATGTCATCTCACAGCATCCTATTTGTTTCATAGCTCACCCCTGTTCAGTGAGAGAGGGGATTACAGAAGATCTAAGCACTGGGAATCAGGAATCTGGCTGGGACTGGAGAGATATGTTGGAGCTGTCTACCACGGGCACTAGGTTAAAGGGTCCAATTCAGGTCATCAGTCTGATTGTAGAAGCATAGCAATTCTTGTTCTTCTAATCATCAGCTATGGAACCTTTGATGAATCACTTCACCTCTCTGAGTTTCATTTTCTTCATTCATAGAATGGAGATGGTAAGTACCTCCCTCGTAGGTTTTTTTGGGAAGTTAAATGAGAAATGCGTTTAA